CCCCCCGTCCATCCCCCTCTTCCCCCGTCCATCCACCTGTCCCCCCCGTCCGTCCGTATCCGCATTTTTCAATTTTCCTGTATTAAATTTACATTTTCGGCCGTTTCGTTTCGGTCGTTTCGTTTCGACGTTTCGCCTTTTAGTACATGCCCATGGCTACCGTTGGAAAATATCGTGATGTTCCGGTATATTCCGGGAAAATGTCGCAATATTCCGGCATATTCCGTGATATTCCGGCATATTCCGTGATATTCCGGCATATTCCGTGATATTCCGGCATTCCGGGTTTTCACAACGCCCCAACCACATACCAGTTAAGTTCAATATGTTGCAAAACATGGGTACGCACTGCGCATGCACAAGTGGCTAGCTTATTTAGCTTGTGTTCCTGCAGCCTGCAATTACAATAGAATGATTAACCAATATAAAACAGTTGCAGTATCTTTCTTACAATGCCAACTAATGGCTACAACGATAATCACTCGATTTCAAAGCAATGGTGCAGCCAATAATATTATTGAGTCACACTTAATAAGCATATACAGCAACTATTGATGAATGTCAATTTATTGACAAAATTTCACCTTTCAAAATTTCACGGTAGAAAAATATAGTGACAGATATTGTTAATACACGTCTATAAACAATCCAGTAATTCATCAAAATCAAACTTCGCATTTTAAAACATTTCGCAACGAAACTTTGGAATATTACTAATTTTGTGATGCTCGTTCAAACTGTGATGAAATTTTTGGATAGACTTGTTTAGATCAAAATTTAGTCTATAATGCAAATGGTTCATTCAAAGTACTTCATGAATAAATATTTAATACTAGATATAATTTAGACTTTTATATTTGTTGTAAGCTCTAACAGCATCTGATTTTATAATGAACCCATCTAATTATCATTTCATCACCACTAAAACACTGGTCTGATACCTGTACTGTTTAGCACTTTTAGGACTGTACTGTACGATTATATACAGTAATATTCTTACAACTAAAACCAGCGCCATCTTCTAGACAGTGGTCTGTTCTGAGTTGCTCACTCTAGAGGCAGGAGGCGTAGTCAGCCCCAAACGAGTGTGTGTGCGTGTGCGTGCGTGCGTGTGTGTGTGGGGTGTCTAATCGTCCAGGGGCGTGGTCCTTCGGAATGTTAGGGTCTGCGAAACGCTATTCCATGCATTTTAGACACGTTTTATGATAAGCTGAAAGACACAGATTTGGTATATTTTTTTGTCATCGATTAAAGGTTACTCCCTCCCAGGTTTTCCTCAGGTTTCAAAGAACTACAAAATTGGCTTGATGTAAGAAACATTCCTTATTGCTTTCAATATGCAACTGAGAACGTGTAGTAAAATAGCTAGAATGTAATGTACTCCCAATATGAATTTTTTTAGTTTACAAGTGTGATGTTCGTCCATGTGAAATCGAAACAAAAAGCTGCTTTCACAATGAATGGGACGGCTATTACATTTGCTGGTAATTATAATAAGTGGGCAGCTGTATATGGCTTGTGGACAGCGAAGGGTGTGGCCTCAACACAATACAAATATTAACTGTTGATATGTGATACATCTTTCTATAAAGGCCTCTTTATCTCCGGGTATACCAACTGCTATAAATCATGTGATTCATGGTGCCATGATGGAGGTTCTCCCTACTTCCGTACCTCTGCAACGTCGAAACGTTACACTGGTGTTGCTTTCAATGAGCCAGGTCATCAAATAAGGCCAAATCGACTTATCAGTGCAGGAATTCGTTAAACTGAGCTGAATTTCGACGGAATTATGATCGCAACAAACTTTGGTATATACCCCAAGTTTTACTAGTTTCATGCATTATATAATCATGCAGTATATAACCATAGTGATATATAATCAACCTACAAGGAACTTATTAGAAGTTTTATCAGTTAATGCATATATAACCATGTGAACGATTGTGTAACAAACGTATTTACGTATAGCCCAAGTTCTATATACCATATATAATCATATGTTTGTGACGTTGCTCTGAATATGTCCACAACAAGCAAACTGAAAAGTTTGCTTGACTGTGGTGCTCAACACCAGAAACAAGAGTATATAATCATGTTGTTTGGACCGGGTGTAATTGGCTTATGCTAGTTGTTGCGGTGTTCCTGCCACTTTTGGTAATAGAGAGTTTGAGCAAGAGAACGAAGTCGGACGACGACGACGTGGTTGACAATTTTTGCCTGTCTTGAACATTACACCTTGCACATTCTGAGTTTAGGGTCAAGAGTGATTAGAGATTCATGTCTAGCTGTTTATGAATGCTGACCCATATCCTTACCCTGATCAGGATAAAACAGCGAGACATGAATCCATATCCCGTCTTCGTTCTTCTGCCTTCGTTCACAACGAATATTTTGGAAAACTTCGTTGTGAACTTCGTTCTGCACGAAGGCATAAGGACAAAGACGAGATATAGTTTCATGTCTCGCTGTTTTTTTCTGGGTCAGGGCAAGAATCAAATGGTCCGTATTCATAAACAGCGACACATGGGAAGACACGTTGAGCAACCACCAGTGACGTCCAACACAGTATGCACAAGATAATGTGCAGACGGCAAAAATTGTCAAGTATGCCTTCGTATTCGTACTTCGTTGTCTTACTCAAACTATTAATGTAATCTCTTGTTTTGTTAACAAGTAATATGATTTTTGGTATGTGTCACATTTGGCTCACTCGAAGAAGAAATGTAATATATCTTTATAGTAAAAAACCTCATCTTGATCAACTTTCTCACTGTCAAAGTTTCCAGATATGTCATTAGGTGAATTGCAAATTAGTTTTCCTTTGTTTTTTGTATTAAAAATTCACCTAATAACATCATATCTGAAACTTTGACAGTGAAAACGTTGATGAAAATGAGGTTTTTTACTATAAAGATACATTATATTACTTCATAGAATGATCCAAATATTACACATACCAAAAATTATATTTGGGGTTAGTCGCACTTTAACATTAATAGTATCTAACCATGTATACCTTAAAATACAAAAGAACAGTAACTCCAAATAACATTTTGTAGCTTTAATGTATACCTTATTCATATACAACCATGTAATTAACTGTGCTTCTTTAACGATGGTATTAAAAACACTGAAATAATTTCGAATGTGAATTTTGTACATTTATTTATATAAGACCTAACTAGCAGCAATCGCAAAAATATGGGCTCTCTGGCAATTCACATTCGCAATTTCCATCTAGAAAATCCTTCATCATTTATAGTTCAATCGAGTGAGAAGCCAAAAAATAGGATATTTGCCCATAAACCTTACCTAGTATATAAACATGTAGCATGGGGGGCCTG